CAATAAATATTTCTCTGATACTGTTGAAGAAAAAGGAACAAGTACCAAATGAAAAACCAAACCAACTGCCATTGGGTAGATTCTGACTCATAGCACCCCTATGGAACAGTGTAGAAGTGCTCCATAGGATTTCCAAGGCTGTAAATCTCTACTGAAGCAGTGTGCCATCTTTCTCCTGCGAGTGGCTGCTGGGTTTGAACTGCCAGTCTTTTGGTTAGCAGCCACATTCTTTAACCACTGCACAATCAGAGCTCCCCAAACGGGTACAGCTTAATAGCTTTAACATATAAATGAAAATGACCTGCAATCGATAATATAACACACTGAAGAGTATAAGTTCAGATACAGACTAACTCTTCAAAATGGTCATTAGCAACTATTCAGAGGCTTTCATGACCAATATACCTTACTAATATTTTAAAAAAGTTAACAGCAAAATAACTGATACAATTTTAAAAAGGAACTGTTCCCTGATCAGAAAGCAAGGCAATTCTATTGTGAAAAGGTTAATTTGGGGCACAAGATCAATACATGTAGAAAAAATAAATCAATTAAGAGAATAATAACATAATAAAAGTTTATTTTATTAATATTTTTAGTTTATGGGCAGAAAACTCTATGTAGCAATAATGGGGTGATGGTTACATTTTATGTAAATTAAATATGTAAATTGATACGCTTTGCTGAGGAAGAGGTTCTGGCTTTTCTTCATGCCCTGAAAAAGCATGAATCTTCTGAGTTACAGAGTTGAGTTCAAATCTTGATTATAAACCTTACTAATTCATAGCTTGTGAAAATTGTTTATCCTCTCTGAGCTGCAACTTTTTTGTCAGTAAAATGGAAATCAAATCTACACAAGGGGTGTATTGGCATTAACTAATATGAAAAATATGAAATAACTTCTGAATGAGTGTGATTTCTAAGCCTATAGTACAATTTATATTGTTCTTGTTAGTTGCCATCGAGTTGACTCTGATTCAGTGTCATGGAGAAGAATTGCTCTATAGGGCTTTCTGAACACTAATCTCACTGGAAGCAGATCACCAGGACATTTCCTCTGTAGTACCACTGGGTAGGTTTGAACCGTCAACATTTAGGTTAGCAGTCAAGCACGAGCTCTGGTAGTGTAGTGGCTAAGGCACTTGACTGCTAACCAGAAGGCTGGAGGTTCAAA